TTCGTATAATTTTTTGGATAAGCCTCACAAATTAATGTGAAATGTTTAGTTCCTCCCTCCCTCCACACACACACCCATAGGACTCAAAATCAGGTGCAAATGAACCACTTTTTGGAAAAGATATATTGTGTTGAATTACATAGGCTACTTTCACACTGCAGGCCTTGATGCTCAATTCCGATTTTTTTTGTGAAATCCGATTTTTTCTACAATGCCATTCACATTTCCAAATATATGCAACTTGTATGTGATCTCCTGTGTAAACTGCAGTCATACAACTCAAGTGTCCCACATGTGCAGTAGAGGATGCAATGACATCACATGCCAGCCTGCTCTGTGCTTACGGAAGTAAACATGGTGCCGGCTAGGGTTGTCAAAAGTATCGATTATTAAAAAAAGTATCGATACTGAAACGTATCCGGATACAATACTCATTTTCAGAAGTATCGATACAGTGCTACCACCAGTGCCACCTAAGCAGTCATCCATCTCAAGTGCAGAATAGAGGAAAATGCACTTTCTGAAAACTGTGGGATTGAAAAATTCTGTGCACTTTTCACTTTTTGTTTCTTAACCGGTTTGGCTAGTGTCATTGCTATGTGTGCAAAGCATATCCAAGTAAGGAAAACTTAATTTAAATTTTTTTTTTCAAGCTTGCTTAATACTGTGCACAGCAAACAACCTCAAAATATTGTTCGTATTGTTTATTGTATTTATTTATTGTATTTTAATTATTAATCAAAATATTTCTGTTGAAATTTGGAGTTTTTATTCTTGTGGTATCGAAAATGGTATCGGGGATCGAATATTTTCCTTAGTATCGGTATCGAGTTGAAAAGTTCAGTATTGTGACAACCCTAGTGCCGGCGCGCATCTAGCAATCTTCCCCAACCATAAAAACACAATCTTTTCAAGATGGTTAAACAAAAATACTGCCCTCCGCATCATTTTCCACCATGGTTGTTTTCTTGCCTTCTTCATAGCAAGACCCAGAATAGTGACCTTTGTTGGTTACTAATGACGTTCAGGTCGGATGAATGCGACCTGGCCGTTCAGACACAGGTTGCATTTGTAAACATCAGATTCGTATCAGATTTAGGACCACATAACCAGGTTGCCTGGGTCGCATTGGAAAAAATCGGATCTGTGTTGTTCCGACAGCCATGAAAAGATCAGATATAGGACGCATATGGGCCAAAAAAATTAGAGTTGGGTCACTTCAGGATGCAGTGTGAACGTAGCCTTTGTTTCTTAATGCTCTGAACTTTTTGAATACTGTGCCTAAAAACTAACATAAGTATGAATACAATCTACAACTAGTCCTATAACTAAGAAAATAATTTAAATCTAAGTATTAGTAAAATAAATTAATCCTAAAAGCTAATTAAACAAAAAAAAAATCAAATGAATATAATTACACTAGAAAGCAAAACTATCTTGGAACAAAGCAAACATGAAAGAAGGTGCTCTGCTCAGATGAGGACAAAAATATTTCTTTTCTCCTACTTGCAAAAATGTTATTTTTGGCAAAACACCCTAAAAAACACTTCTCCACAAAAAAAATAATAAAATAAAAACAAAATGGTCATGGCAGTGTTATATTATAGGGATGTTTTCCATTAAAATAACAAAAAAGTTGAAGGGAAAAGATATTGTGGACTATATATATTCATATATATATATTCAAAAAGAGTATATGATTAGAAGAGTTCAAAGCTGAAGATAAGTTATAGTTGGTGTTTCTTAGCCTGTGGTAAAGAATATAGAATTTTAACTTTTCTTTCCTTCTCATTCAGTCAGATCATAGCTCATCACAACAGCATGAACACAATCTGACAAAACTCCAAGAGCTTTTTATTGTCTTGATGTAAAACTTTGTGTTTTAGGGCATTTGCTCTGGTGCCCTGAAGCTAGATGGACAACAATATGAATGATGCAAACGCCCTCAGGCACCCTTAAAGCTGAAAGTCAATACCTTAAATCTGCATCATATCCACTATTCTGAAGGGCAGAACCTGAGCAACCAAGGACACGACTGGTTTGATATTTGCTGAAATTTTGACGCAGTTTTCAGTTTATTTACATTCGTCGTCTTTGTTTGTATATCAGTGGAGGTGAAATCTGGTGCTGATTTTGAGCCATCTGTAGGTGAACTGCAGGATGCTGGAGGGTAAACTCACCACAGTCGGTGCACACACAGGGCCTGGCCTTGGAGTCAGCACAAATAAGGCCCCATAAGCTCATCTGCCTGCACGGTGGCACACTCAGCGGGCCAAAGAAATCAAGAGTCTCTGGAGCAAGAACATGTTTGAAACAGCTTGGCTTTAAAAAACACATTTGCTCATACAGGCTCTATGTCAGTACGTGCTGCAAGTGACCCAGAAATAGAAGCCTCAACAACTTTCCCTTTTATTGTTTTTTCTCCTGGAATCCCAGCCGGACGTGCATTTTTGGCAAATTAAGCTTTTTTGAAATGATCAATTCAAAACCCAGAAACGACATTAGAACTGAGCTCTGCACCATGTTCAGATATGCAAGTTGTTGTGCAGACAGTCCAGTCTACCTACTATTAGTATTACAAGCAAATAATGCATTTCTCTCCATCTGCCTGTAAGCAAAGCTAAGGGCTGATTTAAAAGGTTTTGAGGAGTCTTTACTGTATTTCAAAATCTAAAATTTAAAACTTATATAGTTTAGGATTACCTTAGAAGTGTTAAGGGTTTGAACTGTAATGACCAGATAGACAGTGGACCTGAGAAATCAGACGGACACAAACATGAATGTTGAATGAAAGATTTTAGAAAAAAAAAAAAACAATAATAATAGATAAATCTACTAGATAACAGCAAGCCTTCAGCTACAGAAACCATTGAGGAGGGAGGGACAGGTTAGTGACTCGGATAGGCAGAATTATTTCAAAAACACCCGGGGGGGGACGCCAACCTCAAAAATCTGGTGGAAACATCACCGCAGGTCAAGAGGAGGCGAGAGAGAAAGGCTCTCTGTAAACCAAAAGCTACTGGCAGAATGGGCAAACAGATCCAAGGACAAGGTTCGAAATCAACTGAAGTATGGGTCACAACCATGGAGGCTGATCCAGGCAAACACATCCAAAGGTCTGAGACTTAGGGCGACTTGTGATGATCAGAAACAGGGTCATGGTACAGAATATGCCTTCAAGGGAATCCAGTCAGGGCAAAGAGAGAGCGGGACACCCAGGAACAGAACAGGCAGGCAAGGAAAGCATGCTGGATAATATACTGACACAAAACTTTTCAAAAAATCTGGCACTGAGTGGATCAATGGTGGGACTTATAAAGTCAGCTGACGAGGGCCCAATCCCCAACTGGTCCCTAACAACTAACCCTTAACTATCAAGTGTCACTCCCAATGAAGTCTCATTCACAGCTGTTGAAGGCATGTTGATTGTAGGAGGGGGTAATATAAACGAGAATGGGACGGCTTCTTCCCTCCAACGGAAAAAGGAAAGCAGTTGTTGCTACGGCAACAGAGTGACGCCCTATGTGCGTGGCTGTAGCTATGCGGAGCAAGTTATCATAACATTAAACATTTGCCCCTTTCTTAAAACAAATGTCAAATAAAACTATTTCAAAGAAGACCTTCCATTTTGGAATTAGTCAAAATTTTTTCATATACTAACTTTTTATTTTATGTCAATGTGACTGAGATGCTGCAAACCAGCAGAATTTACATTTGGCGGAACATATTTCTTCTGCCGCCAGGCCGCTATTACACCTGCTGTCGGATTTCAGCAGGTCTGCAACTGATGCAGACTCTCTATTTAAGGGCTGAACGGTCCACTGGCCCTACCCACTATGTGGTTTCGGATGGCACTTAATGTGGCGGACCCTCCGCAGAAACGCGTAAATGGAGGGTTAGTTCTCATGGTTAGCGCTTAGGCGCCAGTTTGGGATTAAGGAGAGTTAATTGGGAGTGGGTGATTTTGGCACAGGTGGAAAGAATGAGCACTCGGCTTGGCAGTGAGGAGAAGATAAAACATGTAAACACTGGTGATCAGTCAGGCCAGAATCACAGCAGGAACATCAATGTATGGACTAAAGAGGGCTGAACTGAAATGATTAAAAAAAATGTTAATCTGTCAGCAAAAAAAAAATTCTGAGTACTTTCTAAAATAATCATGTTTCATATTGTTCTCATTAGCCTACTATAATCTATCATATATAATATATTTTGCAGAATATATTAGTTTTTAACTTGTTTTTCATCTAAATATAATATCTTTGAGCCCTTGAAAAAAAGAAAAATGTCTGAATCAGATTTTCAAAAAAATCAGGTTAAAAATGCTGAATAAAAAGAAGTACGTTTGCATCTCAGTTTTTGAAAACACCATATACTCGACTCTTATTTCTGAATTCAGACATCACGCCATCAAAAAAGCATCCACCTCTACGTGTCTGAACGGTTGTCATCAACATCGAGAGATAAATACCTTCAGACATGAAAGGACAGCTGTCATTCTGTGGCTTTTTTCATTCGCCCTGAATGTGAAGAAAGTCAAAGCAAAGTCTTCAAGGAGCCGAGATGTGTGCTATTTTTTTGGAAGCATGCGACAGTTTGTAGAAAGACTCTTAGCTTAACCTCTAGAAGACCTGAAGACAGTTTGTGTACTAATGTTGTACACACTGAAAAGAAAAAAGGTATTAAAAAATA